GGGGGGGCTCATGTGTGTTTGGGTGTATCTATATGTCTATGTCTACATCCAATCTCCGTACAATTGAACCAGCCTAATATTTAAGTGCTGTATGACCTCTCTTAGGTGTGCTGTTTTGTACAGTAATGTACACAATTCTCCTAACTGGACGGTAGTGTATACACTGCTTCAGTTCAGTAGCAAATGTCAATCGGCCAGGCTAAAAACAAGCCTTACCTAATATGTTCAGGCCACATTTTGGTAATTTCAGTAACTGACATCCATAAAAAAGATTTGTCACATTTTTAATTGGAGTTATGATCCACTGTTAAACACAAAACGAGATGAATAAACCTCTGTTTTTGTGACCTCTGCCGCCTACTTTACTTTAAAATCGCATTACATTTCATTTTTTTTGTGAAAAGAAAATCAAATGTATATGAAATGCTTCATTGTTGTGAACTACACATTTTGTCTTATTTGTAACCAGAGCATATTCAGTGAAATATTCATTTCCTAGTGACACTCTGCTCCCGTTTTTCTCTTTGTGATTCAAGTTTCTGACATGTTTTTTTTTTTTTATCGCGACAGGGAGCTCGGGGTCGCCGACCAGCAGTATAAAGACTCTTCTCCCCCTCTCCTCTTCTTCTCCCCTACACCCGTTCCCCGTCTCTGCGCTCTCCTGCCACGATTCCGCTCTCCACACCCTCACTCTGCCTCTCTACGGAAAGACCTCCACGGCCTCTCCGCTGCCCAGTAGGGCCTTCTCCTCCCTGGGAGTAGACAGACTGAGAGGCCTGCCCCCGCTACCAGACCTTCCTTTCCTCTCAGCGCTTCAGCCAAAGAAACCTCTCCAATGTAGGGACCCATGTCCGGGGAGCCTCTTCCCCCTCCACGGCCCCTTCGGTCCTCACGGGCCTTCTCTGCTCCCTCATCTCTCTGACACTGCAGGCCCTTACTGTTTCTACCGCTACAGCTTCCCCCTGAACCCCCAACTCACAGCTCTTTCCCGGCACGCCAAACTATCCGAAGACACCACAGACTGTCTGCTGCGCCCGTCTCCGTGGCACCCGACCACCAACCACTGCCTCTGACAGCTGGACCGCACTTTCAGGCTCCGGCCCATTGAGTGTTACGAGCCAGAGCTTATTGCAACAACACAGAGAGGCCTTATGCTCCATTCGAGAAGGACTCAGAGGAGCAATAAACAGTTTTGTATGCCGTGTTGGACTTACACAAGAACTGATCCTGAAGCAGATCATGTTGCTTCCTCTCCACTGTTCACACCAGCCAAAAAACTCAGGAGTGAACACAAATGTAGACAGGATGTAGATTTTTAATCCGGACAGTTTGTTTATACCGTAGGGCAGATCCCTTTTTTTCCGCCTTAACTAATTCACATGCTGTAACTAAAGGGCGTCAGAAGTAGGACCTGAGTTATGTAATATAAATATGAATGAATGACTGTTAAGCTGACCATATGTGCCTATTAAAGTATTTTACATTTTATTTTATTTGTTTTGATCACACACACCAGCCTTTTCAAAAATCTTCTTTTTCCGCACAAACACAGGGGAAACACTTTTCGATTATTTTTTTTATGCGGTTTTCAAAGAAGAACAGAAACACATTGCTTTTTTAACAAGAACTTATGCAAAATTATTATTATGCACTGTTCCTGTGCTAGGACATACATTATGAAAACAAGTTGTGTTTTGTGAGCCCTAAACTGAATCTCAGTGTCAGGCTTGGCCACCCTTGACTAATAATATGAGCTCATCAGGATCTGTGATTTTTAGGGGGAAGAACAACAGCTGCCAGGTTTCAGGCAGCCAGTTTCCATTCCTGTACTTATTACCAATAACAGGACTAATCAGCGACGCATGGAGGTGAAAGGGTTATTCTATATAGAGGCCTTTATTAGGCGCAGGCTGGAAGAAGGCTCCTTGCAGCCGTGTCATCATTATTGTAATCATGGTTGTAACATTGTTCCAGGATCAACAGTAAATCGATACTGCTGTGTGAAGACATGTGGAAGGCTTTCAGAGATCCCAGTGAGGAGCAGAGAATGAAAACCCACTGTGGGCCAACATAACGCTGTGTGTTTTTTTATCCATACCAAAGGGGGCACGCCCGTTCAGCCGCTGATGTGATAATTCCTGCCTTCAGCTCCGACTCAAAATCCTGCACCATCCCTCCCTCCCTCGTCTTTACGCAGAGCGAGGAACAGCGGTTTAGGCAAAGCGGGGGGAAATGGCCTGTTTCCCGACAAACGGTCATAACCAAACAGCAATTTACTTGTCATGGCGGAGCATGGCAGTGAGCTAATGCGCGCTGGACATGGAAATAGCAGGAAGGAGTTAATTGAGGAACTCAGGAGGCAGGGGATGGCCCCTTGTTTCAGCAGGCGGTCAGGTGCGCTGCTATCAAACAGCCTGCCCTTTGTCTGCACACACACATAATCTGTGCGGGTTATTTGATACTGTCTGTCATTTCCATGTTCGGCTACATTGGACCATCATTTTAAACTCCTGACTAATTCCTGATATTTCATTTAGACTGTTTGCTTTCATACCAGGAGAGCTGAACTCTGCACCTGCTGCTCTCCATAGACTAAAACAAAAACACACATAACATGGCGTAAAGACCCCAGCACCTGTCATTGGTAGTGTCTGTGTGTAAATACAGCTATGCTATAGGTTGAAGTATAACATAACGTTTGGAAGATTAGCCTTTGATTAGCACATGCTAACATTTTGTAACAAATGTAGCTCGCTTAACGCAACTTTCAACAGTCTTTTTTAGTAAAAAAAAAATAGTTTGACACTTTCTTGCGTAAAGTTAGTTAAGAAGAATGATACAACTCTAATATTTGTAGCTAGTCTAAATATGAAGCTACAGCTAGCAGCCCATTAGCTTAACATAGCATAAAGACTGAAGACGGGGAAACTAGCATGGCTGTGCAAGGTGGTCTGTGACAGATTTAGGCTAGCTCTTTAACCCAGTTTATATCTTTTATGCTAGGCTAAGCTAACTAGCATCCCGGATATAACCCTCATGATTAACAACCATGAATAAGTATCAATATTCAAACACAACTCTCGGCTGGAAATTATATTTAACAAACTATTTATTTATTTAATAAAGGCTATGTTGTCATACATTTTAAAATTAAGTTTGTAAATGTTACATTATAAGATTATTTATATTTCATACTGGCCTTTCTTTTCTTATCACACGTCACATTTGTTTGACTTGTTGAACAGCACTGTTGTGTTAACCTTTTACCAGCCTGTCGATGATTAACCACGCTGTTCATCGGATCAGATCAGATCAGATCAGAATACCTTTATTAGTCCCACAGAGGGGAAATTTGCAGCGTTACAGCAAGAAAGAGCCACAGAAAGCTTAGTGTTGCATATCTTAAATGCGTTAAAAAAGTATTAAGTTATAATATAATAGACAAACAATATGCTAAAAAAGTACTAAGTTATAATATAATAAACAATATGCTAAAAAAAGATAAAAACTAAAAAAGTGACATAATTTTCAAAAATACAGATCAAAAACAAATCAATCAATCATCACATCATCAATTTGCTTGATAATGTGTCAACATAATCCTCATGAAAGTGGCTGCATGAATAACATGGAAACTGTGCTGATTCGACTTTTTAAGAATAACACAAGCTGGGACGTTCTGGGCCGTTTGACGATGATTGACAGGCAGTAAAGGGAGAGAAATCTGACCCTGAAGTCATTTGTTTCCAATCATGTGAAATGGCATCCTGAAACAGGAGAGAAGCCCGGCAGAGAGACAGGACGTGTAAATATACTCTGCCTTCATTAGATTAATTTACTAGACGCACACACTTATATACATCAGTTATCTCCTATTAATAGTCACACACACACACACACACACACACACACACACACACACACACACACACACACACACACACACACACACACACACACACACACGTTTGCACGTCCAGCATTGTGCCCTCCAGCCTCGCTCGCGTTTGGCTCTGCGAGGGTTTATAATGGACGCTGTTTTCTCAGCAAACTCAATAAAAAGCTGGTTATTTATCAGCTCAGATTATGGGACGTGACTGAGCTCAGCTGTAAAGTTGAAAGTGAAACCAGCTGTGGCTGAAATTGAATTACACAGAGTGAGTAATGTGAAAAGCGAGGGCAGTTTAACAGTGATTAAGCGCTCTTGTACTACGCTATCAAGCAGGCATATTATGATCAGTCAAACTTTTCTCTTGGACAGTGAAATTCCTCTCGTCCCGTCCCATCACTGTTTTCCTTTTTTTTTTTTATAATTCTCCCCAATCTTTGGGAATCTACTGCTAGAAACATCAACACGTTTTAAATATGGGCTAATATCCTCTGTTGTGATCTTGCAGGATTAGCTCAAAATGCTTTTTAATAAGCATGTGTGTGTGTGTATAGCTTGCAGCATCGCCACGAGTGTGTGCAGGACATGGGGTCACCCGGGTGTTGCATAGGCATGTGCTCCCTGACAGGCCCCTGTCTCCCAGGAGCAGAGGTCAAATGAGTGGAGGACAAACGGCTTTAACATGTGTCCGGGCACCTGGTCTGCTTGTTTTCTGTGTTTGTGTGTGTGTTTTGGGGTTTCCTCTGAGCGCTCCATCTGTGGGCCTCACACTCGTGCAATTCATCAGAGAAAGTGTTAATGACCCAAACAGCTCTCGCACTTCCCTCACGCCTCACCTCTCCATTTACACCTTTCCTCCCTCGTTCAAGTGATTTGAACACTCAGCAGTGCAGCAAGTTCATTCATTAAGGGCACGTCTCTGATTAGTTTAATAAACAAAGCACTGATGCACTACGGGGTGTAAAGTAATACAGTAGGTACCTTTACTCAATTGATGTACATAAGAACGGTTTGGAGGTTGTTCAATGCTATGATACTTTCTACTTTGCCACATTACAGAGAAGTAAATATTGTACTTTCACTACCTCTAATTACCCACAAAAGTGACTATATTTTACGTACGAAAACATATGGTTGGGATATAACATCAAATGCAGTGATTTAAGATTAAAACAACAAAAAGGCTTAAAAACGCATCTTTTTAGAATAGCCTTTAACTAGATTTTTAAAACCCCCACATTATGCCATGCCGGCATAAATGCCACTGCTTTTATTCTGTTGTTTTAATAGTTGTTATTGTTTTTGTTGTTTTGTTTCACCCTTTTTAATTTTGTAGCACTTTGAGTTTTGTTTGCGCTTATAAATCAAATGTAGAGAGAGAGAGAGAAATAGTATGAAGCAGTTAATGTTGGATCTACTGTACTCAAACTTACTATACTTTTAAAGTACAGCTTACATATTAACCCATCTGAAATCATGATAATAATGATATAATAATATAACATCGACAGGGCGCATTCTGCTTAATGTGTACTTTCTGAGAACATAAATTAAGATAATCAAATAGTTTATAAGTAGTGTTTCTATTTAGTTTTTTATCTTAAGATTAAAATGTTCTAAATCTATTCAATTTTCATGTACAAATCAAAAGGTTTTCCTTGAACATTCTATACCCTCATTTTAAAGGACATGTTTTCTTCTGACAGCAACATTTTGATCATTTAGATTTCACTTTGAAAAGGAAATGGATGTTTTGATACAAATACATAGTGAACATATGAAAACATGCATAACACTGCGTACAATGTTTAAAATGAACCCCACATTAACTACAGCACTATTTATTGACAACAATGACTCACTCAGTATTTTACATTTACTTGATTGAAGGACCTAATTTCTTATTCCTTTACTCCTATAATAACCTAAACATTAAGCATATATATATATATTGAATCCATTGAATTTGTCTTTATAACAGCCACAGTGACACGAATGCTCTTGTCTTTCCACGGCCTCTTGATGTAATTACGTAACCTTTTATTTTTAAGCCGATTGTTTTTCATCAATGGATCTGTGTGTTTGAGGGTGGCTGGAAGAGGGCTGTCAGCACTCAGCTTAGGACCAACAAACACAACGCACACTCTGACCCCAGCTGTCCATCACACACGACCTTCCCCCCCCCTAAAGAGTGTGTAGGTATGCTAATGCCTGTGTGTGTAAGTGAGAGAATAAGAAAGCCAAAGAGAGGAATTGTTTTTTTATTAAATGTATACCCATAAAT